CTGAACATGAGTTTGTCAATTAGGAGGAAGTGGGCCCATCACAAAAACTTAACACATGTTAAGGCGCAAAATAGAGGAGTGGTTTAATATACTTGTCTCAAAAACCCATTTGTATAACTTAAGTCTCTGAAATGTTGATGTCAATTTTTTAAGTTTCCTGATGATTAAAATAATTCTCAGCAATTTAACAAAATAAGAGACGTTTATAACAACTAAATGCACAAACACATTAAAAAAAATTTACATGTTTGTTTTCTTGTAAGGCTTTCAGAATAAAACATGCACATGGCAAAAATTTCAATTCCATCGTGTTGGAAATTTGGATAAAAATGTGTTGTTTTTTTAAACAATCAGAACTTTTATTACCTTTTGGCAAATAACTTTATTTTGTTGGTTACACAATGTGGAAACATAGTTTCTCTTGTTGTCAGTTTAATTTAAAAATGTATCTGATCATCCAGACTTGATTAATTATCTCAAATTCTTGCAGTTGGATAATATAGTTGTTAATGTGGCTGGGCCTATAGCTGGGTACTATTACAACAAACTATCTTTGATTCTACAAATAATTAATTTTCTATGCTGATGATACATAGCTGTTGTCTTTCATTTGATGATCTGACAGTGTGAAATTGAAATGCCCAACTCTTTTACTGGCCCTAAAAACTAAATTCGTCACTGTTTGCTCACAGATCTCAGCCATGGTGGCCACATTAGCAGTATCATCATCAGTTACTTAAAAAGAAACCCATGAAAATTAATGTTTTTATCTCAAATGACTTGTGAAAACTGGGTCCATGATTTCTTGAGCAAATTAAGACTATTGCATGGATTTGTTTGTAAAACCCTCCAAAAAATCAATTTCAACTCTGCAGAATGCAGAGCTCTTCCCCCAAGAAATCCAAAATTGTTACTTCAGTACTGAACCCACTTCGCTGTGTCTCAGTTCGGAATAACCTTTTAAATTCTCGGAATAGTCCACAAAGCACTTAGTGGTTTGTCCCTCCTGTTTGGGTCTCTGAGGTCCTTGGATGCAAACCTTTTATCTGTTCTCACAATTGCATCCAAGTTAGGGGAAAGTGCTTTGGGTTTCTGTGGTTCTGCTGTCTGGAATATGTTCTCTACATTTCAAACACAAACTCAAAACGTTATGACAGGTTTATGATTCACAACTCTATGTATGTAAAGTTGTGTTGCATTCTCTAATTTATGTTGGTAATATACATAACTATGGCTTGTTAGATGGTCATGGGGCTCTTGTGTCATCAGTTCATATATCTTTGTACCCATTTGTTACTATAATTGCTTAGGGATATATTTGTGCATATACAGTATGTTAACTATGTATATATCAATGTGTTTGTTGTGTTTCTATTTTATGTTTTGTCTATATATGTATTAAAATGTGCTATATTAATAAAATTATAATTGCCAGTCAGAGAACATTGATTAATGAGAAAGTGACTTGCATTGATTCAGGCGTTTTCCAAGGTTTTGAGCTGTGGGGGTGGGGGGAAATAAACGTGCCCTTGAGACATGACTGGTGTGGTAATGGGTTTTTGTCCTTGCTTCTTGATGTTGATTTTGCTACCAGAGCCCATCTGTCTGGAAAAGAGCTGCAAATAAGGCATCATTGCACAAACGGGCATGGTTTACATGAGTTTTAGTGTAAAACACTATTTATTTTTTGTTCTCTATATGAGCCACTGTGTTGTTAAAAAAAATGGTTAACGATCTTAAATAGCCTCTATCCAGTATTGAGTCCTGTCTGCTGGTGCTTGGCACTTTGTCAATGCTCTATAGATCTGACTTGGGGAATTGAAGCACACTGCAGGAAGGATATTTCTGATATAATTTCTCTGTTTATTGAGTGGGCTCTCACTTCATTTCCTTTGAAAGTAAAGTGGTCTTGGAGGTGAAGTGCTACAAGTTAAAACTCTTGATATATTTCTATCTGTGTAGTCTTTTCTTACATTATGCAGAATGGATCCTGCAGTAATCTATGATAACTCAGTTCTGTTATAACCCAAAACAACAACAACAACTTAAAGATAAAAAAAAAAACACATTTGAGTGGCATCAGTAACTGGAAACCTGTGTACACAATTTTGTTCCATGTACCACATATGATGAGAATGACAAAGAACCTTGAATTGATCAGTTAGGCCCACAGTTGTAAAACTCTCAGATCTTAGCAGTGTATTTTAGCATACTCTTTAAATGTCTTTCCATCTTTTTATGGACTCTCTGGCACTTTTTTCTCCCTCACTGCGCCTCCAAAAGGATCCTAACCCAGACCCTACTATGTAATTTCACACCTCAACATGTTGATGCAATGCAGAGCACGAAGAGGAGAGTTTATTGTAAGTCAGTGAGTGGGGACTTTCTTTTGCTTTGGTTGCACAAGTCCCTTTCTTGAGCTTGTGTTAATTAAACTAGTTATAGTAAAAATGTTGCTTGTCACTGTTATTTGTGACTAAATATTTACAACATCTAGTAGAAGTCTTGGTTTTATCTTTTGGTTTTAACGAAGGTTTTCGTATGTTGTTCTGTGTGTTGCATTCTCCCACAAACATTAACTCCAACATCATGCTCTCATTTTCCCAAATATCTTATAAGTTGTACCAGTTACAGTCACAATGACCTGCTGTTGTACAGCGGTCACATTTTTGACAATTAACGTTTGCAAAACATTTATTCTTCTTCTGTTACTACTGATGAGGAACTTGTTGGTTCTACTGCATTAGTTGTCTGTGATGTAACTTTAGGAAGAAGTTGCTCTAATTAGCTTTATTTGACAAAACTGATCAAAACAGAAAAGATAAAGGTTTGTTCAGTGCAACATTTTCAAATGTGTTTCCCCGTTATGCAGAATTCACTTCAGAGCACTGCACAGGTTTTATTTATCATCTTTTGAAGTTGTTCTGCGTATACTTTGCTTCTTTTTAAAATGATGAAATGGCACAAAAATGTTAGAAGTCCTTGTTTACTAAAACAAATCTGATTATTTTAACAGATTGGCATATTGTTTTGCATATTGTTTTGAACTATTAAATGTTTAGCGTATTTCTTAGGTTAGTGTGTTTCTTAGTTTATATCTTAAATCCTTAGTACTGTTTCTTTTACATTTTATATTTTTGCTATTGTTGGATGTAACTGTACACGATTTCCTTCCACCTCATGTGATGCGAATGACAATAAAGAATCTTGGCTTGAACCTTGAAATGTTCTTAACTGCTCCATGTGTGAAGCTGAACTACCACAGTCAGGTTTTATCAATTAAAAGTTGATTTTAATCATCTTCTCTGGCTCAAGCAACTATTACCTACTTTTCTTATGTTTTCCTGCAGTGACTATTTATAAATTCTTTGCAATATGTTTTTGTCTGTAAAATGTGACTGCTGATGTCATTTTTTAAAAGTTAGGATGAGTTTGTTCCTGCAGGACCACTGCATCAAACTTTAAAGTGTTTTTAATTTGTTTCTTGTTTTCTCTATAGCCTGAACGTTTCTTTAGAAATCTATTCAACAAATCACTGCTCTTTTAGGGTTTGAAGCTCTCTGTGAGTTTGTGTCATATGTTACTTAATGAGCTTTGGTTGAAAATAAATGCCCAGGGGGTATATTGGCAGCATGATGGCTCAGTGGTTAGCACTGTTGCCTCGCAGCAAGAAGGTCCTGGGTTCAATCCCCAGTTGGACCTGGGGTCTTTCTGTGTGGAGTTTGCATGTTCTTCTCGTGCTTGCGTGGGTTTTCTCCGGGTACTCCGGTTTCCTCCCACAGACCAAAAACATGTTTACATAATTGCCAAGTCTTCATATGACTTAGTTCACTGTGGTGACCCCTGATGAAGGGAGCAGCTGAAAGAAGAAAAAATAAATATATGCATCATTTTTAAACAAAATTGTAGGTTTTTATTTATTTTTCACATATTTTAAATAACTTGTTGCACATATGTTTGTGGATGCTGAGATCTGCATAAATCAGTCCAGTTTGAATATGTGAATTTATTATTGTGCGCTGGTTGATTTTATGTAGTGTATGACATCCCTCGGGATAAAAGAGCTGTTAAAATTTGCGTCTCAAGTTTGATGGAGACCTGCTCTCATCAGCCTGCTCCTTGTGTTTACATTGTGTAAATCGGTTTGACAGGGGTGGCACATTCCTCTGCAAGGTCACAACCAGCTGCCGTGTTCTTTAATGAAAAGTGCTGCTGAATTGCTGCCTCTCACCATGGCTGTAACATGGTTCCTATCAGCTCCATATCAACCCATTTCAATATCCTGATGTATGCTCAATAATCCAGGTAGAAAAATCTAAAAAAAAGTTATTTCCTCTGGATGTTCAAAAAAAAAAAAAAAAAAAAGTAGAAACGTTTCGTCTTTCATCCAAAAGACTTCTTCAGTCTGAGGAGCTGTATTCAGCATATGATGTTCAATGAGCTGAATGATGTCTTTCTATTCTTCCTTCTTTTTATTGTTTTTCTCCCCTTTTTGTCCTTCCCACTCTGTGGTTTGCTTCCTCAGCTTTAGCAACAATGGTGGTATTAGCTGTGAATTCTCTACTGTGACTATTTGGTAGTTACAGCTTTTCAACATGCTGTAACGTGCCAAGAACTAGGATGTCTGTATATTAAAAAAAAAGTTATTTTATTTATCCCTCCCATACGGGCTTGGTTTGATTTATTAGAACAGAAACATGCAGCGCTTGTTGTATGTTTAGCAGCGTGGTAGATTTTTTAGTTGTGTATATACAAATGCATCTGGTTTCAAGATTTGACTGAAATTTTGCATGCTGTACAACCACAGTGACTATGGTTTGATGTGGAATTGGACCTTTGCTGCATGCGAAATACCTAGTTTCATACACGTTTGTCATGAGAACCGTCAACTTTTAAAAGTGGTTGTGTGCAGATTTAACAACGCTGTATTAAATTTCTAAAGTAAAACATTTCTGGATTAATAAATACATAATTTATCCCTAATAATTTACTACTTTCAGATGACTCGGGGGACGAGGATCCCACATCCCAATCGGACCGTAGCGAGATCCAAGGCACCCTGAAGATTCTTGTCAGCAAACTCGATGACCTCAGCACCTGTAATGACCTGATCGCCAAGCACGGAGCCGCCCTGCAGCGTTCTCTCAGTGAACTTGAAGGCCTGAAAGTCCCTCTGGAGGGAGGAGAAAAGATCAAGGCAGTCAACGAGCGAGCCACTCTTTTCCGCATCACTTCCAATGCTATGATCAATGTAAGTACTCTGGGTGTAACGAGCTGAACACTGCTGCAGCAGGGAGAAGGTCGGTGATCTGTGTCCTGCATGCTTGGGCAATGATAACTTTGACAGGAGCTCCAGTTATGTGTAATGTCCTGGTTAGTTAATGATAAGAAACAGCCTCAGAGAGCCACCAATTGAAAACTGCATGTCTACAGGCACGTTAACACGTAACCAGATCATGTTTACCTATTGAAAATGTAACCCTTGCCTCTCGTATAACAAGATGTCTGTGACTTTTGTCTGGTTAAATTTATAGTTGCTGCCTGTTTAACTCATTTATAAGTCCTCTTCCATTTTCATCGTCTAAGGGCTTTCTATGTCTCTTAATGGTGGATGAGAGTTCAGGAAGGGTTGAGGCCCCAAGGGAGAAATACTAGATATGATATTGGGTGGGGTGACAGGAATAGCCCCTGCTCCCCACTCTTCTCAAGCCCATGAAGGGGGGGTAGAAGGTTGAAGAGAAATGTTAGAACTTTCTGTACCACAGTTAAACATACCTGCTCTGACTTAAGTCAGCCATTCATGTAACGATTGTTGATTCTTGTTCTTCCTGCTTCTGTCAGCTGTTTTTATCCGAGGTCAGTAATGCTTATTTTGGCTGTTATTCACGTCTAATTGATGCTTTTTAATCTGCAGTTTATGAACTCTGAATTGTTGTAACATTGACGTCATATTTGCTTGCACTAATATTTAATGGTTAGTAACAATATTTGTAAATCAAAGTAACGTTTATATTTGCATGCAAATTGATATTAAGTAGATAGCTATTCAATAACCGTAGACCACTGGAACTAAATGTAATTTTATTTTTGCATTAAAGCTTATTTTTACTTTATTTTCCCCCTCAGCTACACCTGCTGACACAGTGTTCACAAAGGGCTAAATGGACAAATCAATCCCAATTTTAACACGGATAAGTTTACACCGACTGGTTGCTTCGCTCCCAGAAACGTTCTGATTAGTGGAGCAGAAAATAACTCGCTGAGGGAACTTGATTCAGGACCAACTTAACCTCTGCAGCACTGGTTTCAGGGATGTAAGCAGTTATGTTATTGCTCTAAACATGCATCTTTAAAAATTAGAATAACGTGAATTTTTTTTATTTTTGTCAATCATTTCAGAAAGTGAAACTCATACTGTATTAGTCATTACACAGAGTGAAATATTTCAAGCCTTTATGTCTTGTAATTTTAGTGATTATAACTTACAAATAATGAAAAACTAAAATTCATTGTCTCAGAAAATTAGAATATTGTGAAGAGGTTTAATATTTAAACTCCTGGTGTCACACCCTAATCAGCTGATTAACTCCTAGACATGAGCTACAAATGACTCATTCCTCAAGTTGAGCCGCTCCTGAACCAGAGACGACATCAGAAGCATCTTACCTGCTGAGGAGACAAAGAACTGGACTGTTGCTCAGTGGTCCAATGTCTTCTGCTGGTGTTGGTCCACTGTTTTCTGAAGTCCACAGTCAACGCAGCATCTACCAGGACATTTTAGAGAAGCAGCTTCCTTCTGCTGATGAGCTTTATGGAGATGTTGATTTTAATTTCCCAGCAGGACTTGGCTCCTGCCCACACTTACAAAGGTACCAGAAGCTGGCTGTGGAATATTCTCATTTTCTGAAACTCTGAGTTTTGTTTTTTCATTATTTGTAAGACATAACCATCAGAATTAAAATAAATAAATGCTTGAAATATTTCACTCTGTTTAATGAATCTGTATAATATGAGTTTCACTTCATGAAATAGATGATTGACAAAAAAGTTGAACTTCTTCACGGTATTCTAATTTTTTGAGATGCACCTGCAGGTTCAGCAATTTTACTGATATAACAATAAATTTTAGGCTTAATGTCTTACGTATTGTGCATCATGGATTTACATTTTTTTAATGTTCCGAATAAAAATAAATTTTCTTTTGTATGTTAAAGTTAACAGAACTGTATAAATAAAACATTTACAAAAAAAAATTGCATAAAAGTTAGTCCTAAGTCTTGAATTTTAACCTTAAAACAAATATTGTTTTAAATCAAAGCGACATAAAGATAACGCAGCTAAAAGTATTTGACTATTTTTACATTCAAGATCTTTACAATACTTATTCAGATAAAATTTTATTATTTTACCCATTTGTCATTCAGATGGGTATGGAGAAAAAAGTACAATAGTTAGTTTTTAAGTTTAAATGGGAAGTAAATAGAATACATTTATTCAGTCAGATATAAGATCCTTTTGAATTGTGTATAGAGATGATTTAACACATGTAACGTGTGATTTTGACCACAGCTTGGAGAGTTTTACTTTAGTTCATTCACCATTAACCTACCTCAAGTGTGGCTTTGACTCCAGTGACAAACTCTCCAGTTAACACATTTAGGAGCTCACCATTTTAGATAGCATTCAATTTACAGATACTTTAATTTAAAACCAAAGTCATAGACACACTACAGAAAATAAATGGTTTCAAATACAGGTTCACTTTGTCATGCGAGGACTTTTAATTGACCCCTGATTACTAATTATGTTGAGCTCTTACACACTCCTTATTCACGTTGTTAATCTATTCATATTTTTTCCTCCAACACCAGAAGTCACATGCAGTCTGAGCTTCTACTGAAGAGTCAGCATTAAAAAAGTGGAACTGTCACACTTTTTAGGTTTGGGTTTGAGTTTCATATCATGCTTTTTAGTCTGAGGAAGTGAACTTAAACGTCACATGGGTTTGTTGCATTTAAACAGAAGCTCAGGCGTTGATCTTTAAACTGCTGGTGCAAGAATAAAGAAGGTAAGAGACTGGCATTGTTCTGCCTGGAGAGCTATAAAATTTATCTTAATCTTATCGGTCTTATTAAATTGTAATCGTCAAGTATTTAGTGACTCTTTCAGGGATGTAAGATTGATGATGTGATGCTTCAGCTGCCTCCTGTTATATTAATGTGCAGTCATTACACACTCATCATTCTGAAATATTCTACAGTTTAAATTAAATGTCTTAATATGTAATTAGCAATAAAATATTAATCTCTCAGCTAAATCATTTAATAATCTGGAATAATAGATTACACCAAGTGTTTTTCCTTGTCTTTTAGTGTTCACATTATATTTTAAAAATGGAAAGTATCTGGATGGTTTGTTAGATTTAGCTCACTGCTGAAAAAATTCATGGAAAAAATGACTTTGGGGGGATTTGAGAATCAAAATACTGCAACAAAATCCTCTTGGCAAGCATAAAATCTGCATCAGTAAAGTGCATTTACTGAATGAAAGGTTGCCAGGTAAAAATTAACATGCTTTTTTCAACTCGAAAAAATTATCCAAGTTGTTAAAAATGTTCCTAATACTGAACTTTGTGACATTAGGGGTACAGCAGATATTTCATACGGTATTTTTCAGACGATAAGGCACATTAAGTGAAACAAAACAGTCAGATAAGTCAGACTTTATTCAACTTATTTACAGTAACTCTCGACGTTGTTCAGTTGTACCACTAAAAATGGGTTCAACGTTGGTAAGCACAACCAGAATAATAATAAAAATATTTACAAACATGCAATGGAGCAGTGAAATAACAGTTAGTAGTAGCAGCCACATCCAAGATCTAATGTGTGTGTGAGAAAATGCGATAAAGGGCAGCATTTTTTAATTATTTTTCAAAACCTGCTGCTTGCTTGTTTTGCTCATCCTGGGAGGCGTTTTCACCGGAGCACAGAGATGAGATGAGCACAGCGAGCGCTGCATCTCTCCAGATTCATGCATTCAGGCCCAGCTTTCACTGAAGTGACTCAACCTAACAGTTACCAGTCCCTGTGGTTCTGGGAACACGGGACACTTTTGCTTCAGTTGACCTTGAACCTAATGCGATCACATGTTCACACAGTCTGGTAGGGAAAAATTTAATTGGTTTTCAGTTCAACAGTTTTAAATTATTTTTTCAGAACCACTTCAGTGACAGTCACATGACATTGCTAGTAATGTGAAGGTAGCCAGGCGATGCTATTTAAGTTCAATGCCCCTTGAGCTCACTAAAAGATCATGATGCAGAGCCAACAACTGCTGACATGTAATAAATGTGTGATCTAAAGTAACCCTTGTGCCCTGCTGTAAAATTAGAACGGCAATGATGCCCCCTCATGGCTCAAATGGTCAAGAGAGGAAATGGCTGCTCAGATTAATTTTTTTATTTTTGACCTTTATTCATGAGGGCACAGTGGGATTTTATTCTCAGCTCATCAGCCATCAAGGTTTGCTCAGAGGTTTGTTCCGCACAGCAGGGACACCCAGTCAAAGCTCTGCAGACATCTAATTAACATACTGATGATTGCTCCAGGTTAGATTAGGCATTTATTTTGTGTTTAGCTATGCAGCATTTTTCTGTTTTAATGTCTTTTGTCTGGATGGCCATTCTTACAACCATTAAATCTCTTCTTGCTAAAATTTACTGAAAAGTAACAGACAGTCTGTGCTGACTGTGTGATCATGTGCTTGTGTTCTTTAGGCGTGTCGAGACTTTCTGGACCTAGCTGAGACTCACAGCAGGAGGTGGCAGCGGGCGCTGCAGTATGAGCGAGAGCAGCGTACCCACCTGGAGGAGACCATAGAGCAGCTCGCCAAACAGCATAACAGCCTTGAGCGTGCGTGGAGAGAAGCCCCCACGCACGTTTCCAGCACGCCCAGTGCCCCAACCAACAACCAGGGTGAGAACGAATATTGCTGATCCTTGTCTTACAGCGGACATAGTTTTATAGGTGAAAAGTCATGTGGAGCCTTGGACTTGATATTATAGAAAGTCCTCGTGTGGAGAAAATAAACTTTGGGTTGTGTCAGGTGGTTTAGATTGGATTATAGCCCAGTTTGGTTATTATATTAACAAAGAACTGCTTTTGTAGCTCTTGAAAATCTCAAACTAAGTTACTTCTGTAAGTACTCTGTGATTCTGATTATCATATTACATTGCCATTTCTCTTTTTTTAAGCCTTATTAGTTTAATTGGCCCAACAGTATATGGGTTTGTGTTCAAAAAGGTTAAATACAAAGATGGCTGTGCCTGCCTAAGGCTCAGCTCATGCTTTCTCATCTTGAGGTGCCTAACTTTACAAATCTCAAAAAATGTTTTAACCCTTTTCTCAGGTTTTAAGATGAGCAGATCTTCTGTCTCTTTCTTCAACTCTGACAGTGCTGTGTTGAAGTGCTGCTTCTTCTGGTCTCTCAGCATGACTCAAGTTGAAATAAATGAGTACAAATAAAACCTTATTTTCTGATTCACTGCAGGTTTTATTTCCACAAAAAGACAAAATAAATAGCACTTGCACACCTCTGCAGACCTTAAAATCTATTTCCTATGCAAGTGGACATGCGCACAAAAATATATAAAATACAGGCGGACAGCTGAGTGTGAGGAGAATTAATTTTGAAGATTATCCAGACTTTATTGTACTTGGGATTAAATTTTGCCTGTTTTAGAAATATTTAAAGTCACATTTAGCCGTTTTGTTGGCATAATTTTTTTCTTTCCCATTGGCATAATTTTTTTAATCTTTAGTGAGAATGACAAGCCACATTGACTTTATTATGAGAAGCATGCACAGAGAAATTGCATCAGGCACCAGGAACATTGGTTTGTTCTCTTATTATTCACTAATTAATTGCCATGGGTATGTGATTATATGCTCTTCTCCACTGAACTCTAGAGAATATCTCTACAGACTCGCACATTCTTCTGTTTCAACTGCAGGGAATAAAAGGGTGAATAAAGAAGAAGCAAGTGATGAAGATGAGGATACTGAGTTCTTCGATGCCATGGAGGACTCCCCTGCATTTATCACAGTGACTGCCAGTGAAAGCACACAGCACAGGTCAGCCTGCATGCAGTCCATGTGACCTTTTTATCATTTGTTTAAAAAATCTCAAATGCAGTACTGGTATAAGTGAGGGGGGGGGGGGGAGGGATCTGTTATTAACGGTTTCTCTTTCTTTGTCAAAATGATGAAATTCAAACCTAATTTGAATAGTTACTCTTTGATTTTGTTGCATATTCACTGCACGTGACACAAATTAAAACCATATTTATAATAATAGAACACTATCATGGCTGCAGAATGAAATTACAACGTAAAGCCTGCCAAATATAAATAAATCTTTGATATTTACAGAGCATTTATCATATTGTTGAGACCCTCACTGAGCAATATTAGTAAATTAAACTGTAATGATTGTTTCATGAAGAGACTGAGAACTGGCTGGGTAACGTACACCACCAGATTTCTTGATGAAGCATTTCATTGTAACCAGCTGATTAGTAATTAACATCACCTTCAGTGAAGTAGTGGTAATGTTGTCAAATTTCTACATGCCACCAAGACAAAATCCAGCTGTTAGGCAGCCACCAGCTGCAGTACCTAGTGATTTCCTTCTTCCTTTTAAGCGTTCAAAAGAGAAACAACATGGACCAGGGCTTTACAGTTCATTTTCTGCTTGATGGGAAGAAAACAACAAATTTTCATTTAATTTTAGGCGATCTCAAAGCAATTTGAGTGGAGCAAGCGGCCAGGCCAACGACTGGAACCAGAACGACACTGTAAGTGTTTGTCTTCCTATAACGAATGTGACTAATGCAGCTGACATTAAATGCTGCTGACTCTTGTAAACCAGTTCCATTTGTGTGTCTCCCAAAGCTCACACTTCATTGATTTACTTACATAACATTTGCATTTGCTCTTCTTACACACACTTTCATTTTTTCCTGCCCTCTTTTTGTCATGCTTCTGGAGTTGTACAGTTGCATCATCCTGTTCTTAATGACGAGACAGAAATCGGTTATTTTCTTGTATTCAGCCCTTTTTTTGGGGCCGAGATGGTGTAGAGGCAGGGCAGCCGGCTTGGGACCCAAAAGTCCCAGGTTCGATCCCCAGTCACTGCACATCACGTGGTGTCTTTGGGCAGCACACCTCATCCCCAAAATGCCTCCCGGGCGCTTTCAATAGCTGCCCACTGCACCACCTGGTGGTGGATGGGTTAAATGCAGAGACTAATTTCGCCATTGTATGGAAACATACAGTGCTGACATTGTGATGACATTATTATTATTATTATTTTGTTTCAGTTGCATCGTTTGTCCTGTCTTCTGTGTCTGTCAGTATTCTGATAAGACATTTATAAAACTGAACGGTAGTTCCTCATACTTGTCCACCTACTCCTTTTGCCTTACCAAATCCCAGATGTCTCCTGGCTGTAACGATGTGTCTGGAAAGGAGCTGCAACCTCGCAGACAAAGGCGGACTCATATCCCAGATAAGCCCAATTACTCCCTCAATTTATGGAGCATCATGAAGAACTGTATCGGCAAGGAGCTCTCTAAAATCCCCATGCCTGTAAGTCTGCGAGTCCTGTTCCATTTACAGTGTTTGCTGACAAGCTAACGTAAATCTGTGTAGATTGCATTATATGAATTTCAATTCTTGATCTTCCTTTCAGGTAAATTTCAATGAGCCATTGTCGATGCTGCAACGTCTTTCAGAGGACCTGGAGTATCATGAGCTCCTAGATAAGGCGGCACGCTGCGACTCGTCTCTGGAACAGATGTGCCTGGTTGCCGCCTTCTCCGTCTCCTCCTACTCCACCACGGTCCACCGGACAGCCAAGCCCTTCAACCCCCTGCTGGGCGAGACTTACGAGCTTGATCGCCTGGAGGAATTTGGCTACCGCTCACTGTGTGAGCAGGTAATAGTATATCCACACTTTTTCTAGTATCTTGTGAATTTGTTTTCAATACTGTCTATCTCTGCCCAGGTAAGCCATCACCCCCCTGCAGCTGCACACCATGTGATTTCCCAAAGAGGCTGGACCTTGTGGCAGGAAATCACCATTGCTAGCAAGTTCCGTGGCAAATACCTCTCCATTATGCCTCTCGGTAGGACATTTTACATTCAGCCTGGCAGCTGGCTAACTGAAGCTCTTACTAGAAGGTTATATATACTCGGAAAAGTAAATGCTACAGGTGTTTCAATGATTTATTTAAAATAATTTTCTGGAAATATCTGATCTTTTTTTCTTCTGGAACAGAATTAAATATATAGTCTAATATAATTTTGTTAAGTTATTGAAGTGTCATGCTCACCAGTTTAAAGATGTTGAGAATTCCCAAATTTCCTCATTTTCAAGCGATTATTGTGATTGATTGCAACTGATGACTTCCCTTTGTTAACATGGAAAACGTAATAGTTTGGCATTTTTTTAACTGAATTAACTCACGCTCAGAATAATGTCCAAAGTGTAAGTGATGATCATTCAATGCAGACAAGGCTGGAGCATCACCAAAGTGTTCTTTACAGTATTATCTGTACATGGAACCTGCACTGTACCGAGTCAGGTTGTCATGAGAATCATTTTTGCTGATTAATTCTTGCATTAAAATCATTTGCAGTTCCTGATCCATGAAAAAAATTTAATAGTTTTGTTCTGGTTGTGACTACGGTGTGAGTCAATACAACCACAGCTGTATCCGTAAGGCATGAAACTGCACCGCTGCAGTTTTAAAGAGAATTAGAAGAGGTGGTTCAATAGTTGTATCTTTTTAAAGCTGCTAGCTGCTACAGAGAGTGTAGCTCAGATTGTGTCTGTAGACTGAATAGCATGGCTTTCATGACTTTTGGAGTCTTGTCCTGTGTTTTGTGTTTTACCGTATGATTGTTGCACAATTGTTAATGGGTGTATGCTGTTGTGGTGATTGTTAAATTATTTTAACATTTAGTTGTTTTTTTTATCTTTTGGCTTCACCATTGTGCAAGGGTTGCCACAGTGAGAAGATTTTCATGAAAAAAAATTGCATTTTTTAAACGTTTGTTTGCCATTTTTGATGCAACCTGGGCTCAAACCTGCGGCCTCAGAATGAGACGACCACACTGACCACTGATCTTCTGCAGCTCTCTATTGGAACATTTTAGTGAAGTCACTATAATCCTCAAGTATTTTGTGTTCACAGCACCTCTGGTATAGAAGCACTGCAAGTTCAAACAGCTGAACATATCCAAGAGCTAAAGTCTAAACGATAGTCAAAATCCTGTCAAAGCTTTCACCATCAGAACAAGCTGAAATGTTTCTCCACAAATAATCAGCACTCATTATTTTTCTGCATTATAAAATATTTGTCTAAATATTATCTGCTACAAAGGATCTAAAACTGACTGCACATTTTGAGGCTACACTAAAACTATTGCTAATTCAGCATATTCATTGAATTAAGTAATTCTGGTCCTTTTTGAGACAAACACACCAACATTTTAAAATACATTTATAGTACACAGTTTGGTGCCATGTGCCTCATAAAGTAATATCTAATATTGCAAGTTGAGAGAGTATTTCTGTGTTTGTAATCATTTTATGCTTTTGTCAATTAGGTGAAAATAATGGTTAATTTTCACTTTGCATTTTGAACGAAGAGCAGTGATTTGAATGGCAATTGGAGATTTGATAGATCTAGGATCAGATGATACAGTGATATTTACATGACTTCTCTTGTATTATACGGCTGTTGCTTTATGTTATTAGACGCACTAAGAAAGGAATAAAAGTGTAAATAATCTTATATTATGAAATAGATCTAAATCTTTCATGGTCAGATCTCATTTTGAGTAAAAAGACTTGGATTCAGTGAAAGCATGGCTGTGTAAGATGCATGGGTTGTAAGGTTTTGCATCACTTCTCTACATCACTGTGTTGTTAGTAGGATTGGCAGCCAACAGTTAAATTTCCTCTCATAGTGTTGTGTTCCTGTGTCCCCAGGCGCCATTCACCTGCAGTTCCACTCCAGTGGGAACCACTACGTGTGGAGAAAAGTCACCTCCACGGTGCACAACATCATTGTAGGCAAACTCTGGATTGACCAGGTGTGTTTATGAGCTCATCTCAGTGATCACCGTCCATCCATAGCTCCTAACCTTCTGCCCCTGACCTTCCATAGACCTTTCTCAAAGACATCCTATTTTCAGTGATGTCAAACGATAAGGTTCAGACCAGCAGGGTAAAGCCCTGTAAATAAGGGATTCAGACAAAAGCCCATGTCTCTGGTGCTCCTCAATCTCTGGGGATTTGTCTTAAGCTTTGATCCTTAACATTTTAAAATGACAACCTTCTCTTTTCTATGCAATGGTCCAGATACACGGGGGGAGGAAGTGAGTGGGACAGACATCACATGTTTCACTGTTTCCTTTTCTAAAAGGGATTTTTTTTCTTCTGTTTTTCTTTATTGTTGTAATTTTTTACTTTTTTTTTTTACTTCTGCCTTTCAGTTTCTTTGAGTTTTTAAGTGAACTTGGATTAGCATGAAGAGACATGTAGATCAGCTTTGAGTTATTTAAAATCCCCAAAATATCACGTATTTCTTGTAAACGTTAAGGTTCTGCTGCCCCCTGCTGCTGAACCAGGTCTGCTTAAAAACACAGAATTAAATTACAAATTACCATCAGACACTTAAATAATTAAATAAATAAATAGAACAAGACAGAGTAATTAAAATGGCTTTGGCAGCAAGTCCATGCATTCATTCTTCTTTTCTTGGTCCAGATTGTTTGTGATCCTCGTATCTCCCTCTCTCTAGCTCCAACTTTGGTTAAAATGTGTCCTGAAAGGTGCTGCATCTTCTTCCAATTGATTCACACTGATGTAAACTTCCAAACCACAACTTGGAGGTCTTCGCTTTAATAAATACAAGACCACATCATCTAAAAAGTGGAACAATTTTATGATTCTGAGCTAAGTAAACATTACACCAGCAAGTGATGTGCTGCCAGAAAACATTACAAACCAAATCTGTAAAAAAATAATAAAAAATAAAAATAAAAAAGGGGGCAGACTTGGATGAACTTGACATCCTTTTGGATGAATAATTTATTCCTGGCGGAGTGAATCAGCAGCATGCTGTCATAAGTCATGGAGATTTGGCCTATAGCAGAGACCTACAATAGTTAACCCAATTCCCAAAACCCTGAAGGACTCTTGTGTGTCCTAATCCAAAATGCACATGCACATGCAGTTTGTCTGGACAAGACCACAGGAGACACTCACTCCTGTGGTTATGTAATGAACTGACCCGGTGTTCACAACAAAACAGCAATAGTCCTCCTGGTTCAGAAGTACAACTATCAGTTGTTCCCTCTAAATCACCTTGATCTAGACTTCACAGAGAGGTTAAGGTTGTGATCATGTTGTGGATGCAACTCCTGATCACCCAAGGGAGCATCTGGTCGAGAATATATAATTAGAAACAAGCACAGCAGCAGAAACACTTTAACTGGTTGTCATGTTTGACAGAAGCTGCAAGGATTTGACACTTTGCAGGGAGAGGCCCAGTGCAGAAATGTTTCCCATTACATTCTGTCTATTTTCAACTTCATGCACGTGTTTCAGCATCACATACAAATGTACTTGAACTCGTCATTGTTCAGCAGAAGTTCTAGTTGATCAAAGTATCCACATGATCTCTTGTTACAACTGTTTAAAACACAAATGTGAACAGTATGAGCCACATCTTACTTTACAGCAACAAAAGGATGGCTGATAATCCGGGTTTTAATTAGTTGTAATAATACTGCACACTTAAAGTAAAATGAGACCGTTTCTTACGTCTTCTAGCTGATGACATCATAGTAAAATGTGCTGTTTGAAGAAGTTGTAATTCTGTCTTTCTCCTTCTCTGTATGTGTTTGTGCAGTCTGGGGACATAGAGATTGTGAATCACAAGACGAAGGAGACCTGCCAGCTCAAGTTCTCACCGTACAGTTATTTCTCCAGAGATGTTCCACGAAAGGTAAAGGCTTCCTCCCCCCCTGCACTTCATCATACTTTGTGTGAACTGCCTCCTGCTGGACTGTACCAACAAATGAAGAAATGGCATGAATGTTTATAATAAGTGAAATTTTAACATTTGTGTACATTTAAATCTAAATGTTTGATTTGAAAAGTTAAAATCTTATTTCCTAATCTTCATTTATGCACTAGACAGGATGTGAAAAAGCTACAGTGAAACGTCGTTTTGAACCGTCACTCCATCTCTAATTGATTTTCCCCTGCAGGTGACAGGTGTGGTGGCAGACAGTGGGGGCCAGGCTCATTACATCCTCTCTGGTACATGGGATGACAAAATAGAAAGCGCCAAGATCATTCAGAGCAGCCGAGGGGGCAGCGGATCAGAAGGAAAGCAGAAGACCGTCTATCAGACGTTGTCCCCCAAGCTCCTATGGAAGAAATACCCTTTACCGTAAGTTTATATTGTGATCGATTTTAAAAACTGCAATATACGAGTCACAGCTGATGTGTAGAGTTTGATCAATACTATTGATTTCAGGATGCAACAACGCAACTCTACTCATTTCCTTTGTACTTTAGGGAGAACGCGGAGAACATGTACTACTTCTCAGCTTTGGCTCTGACTTTGAATGAGCTGGAAGACGACGTGGCGCTGACGGACAGCCGACTGCGACCTGACCAGAGGCTGATGGAGGATGGCAGATGGGACGAAGCTAACTCCGAAAAACAGAGGCTGGAAGAGAAACAAAGAGCAGTGAGAAGGAAGAGGGAAGCAGAGGCCACGGACGCTCTGGATGAAGGTATGAAGTTATGAATTTGTTCACAGGGTTATATGATTTAATTGTTGAAAGCCTGAACATGTTTGATGAGCCGTCTGGATGTAAAACCAGACTGAACAGAACCCTCAGTGGGATTCTGACGTCCTGGTAGCATCCTGTGTTTGTGTTGTATGCAGACCAGTTTGTATTTTGATGTACCCATGACTTGTCTTTCTTTTCCTCCTCCTGTTGATGGTCAGAGTGTGATTATGACTCTGGTGAGTGAGGGTTTGTTGTGCATCACACACACACATACCATTCTTGTGTGTTCTCTGCCTCTTTATAGAAAGTGCATGATGCCCCTCTCATGTCATCTTTAAATAAAATCTCCAGACTTATATTCTTGCATATGTAACATTTTCATTCAGGCCAGGCCTCAGATAGGTTTCACATACAGTACGTACGCTCACTGGCAAGTCATAGTTTTTCTCTTTATTCAAGGATGTCAATTTGTTTCTCTAGTTGAGCACTTTTCAGTTTCACCTCTCTAAAAGTTATAAAAACTTTGTTCATCCAGCTCCAATGTTTATTTGAGGAGAAACACTCATTGAGCCGCTGCACCAAGCGTGAGTTATTGCACCATTACAGTGCTCAACCATCAAAAAACAAGTTCCATCTTTGTTTTGATTTGTTTACTGGTTTGTATGAAACAAATGAATCACTTCAGGGAATCCTGATAACTGGTCATTATTTTCGTTGCTCTTCTGTTTTTCCGTTTAACCTGTTGCTGCTTGGTTTGCATTTGGAGTGTTCCCAAATGCAGCACACAGAAACAGACTGCTTCTCATTTATACTTTTATCAAATCATTATTTTCATCCTGAGTGACCTGCAAGTGTAAGAGTAATCACATTTAAAAAAAAATCTGCTTCTCTCATAGGTCGAGAATATGAAGGCTACCAGCCACTGTGGTTCCATCAGAGGAGAGACTCGGTCACTGGAGAGACAAACTTTGTCTACAAGGGAGGTTACTGGGAGGCAAAGGAGAGACAGGACTGGCGCATGTGTCCCGACATCTACTAACCCAGGAACTCATCTCAGATCACACCAACCTCATCGGACAGGGAGCTGCTCGCTCTCTGGTCTGCAGGCAGTGGAACATAGCTGGTTTATGAGCACCACGTGGACCTCTGAGAGCACGAGAATGTGTGCGTCACACAATCTCCGATTACACAATACCTCCAAATGTTTGTTTTTTTTACTTTGGAGAAAATAAAAGGCAGGACATTCCTTTAGCAGTCTTTAAATAAAGGCACCTGCACAGTCCTGCTGCTCTGGTGCAAGTTATACCCACAATGCACTGTCCTGAGTTTACTCGTTTACAGAGTTTTCTAATGAAACTCTTCTGAAAACAGCGTTTGATTGGACTCAGACACAACAGTGTTGAATGCACCTGGAACTGTATTCATAGCTGCAAAACAGATGGCTTCACTTTTTAGTTCAACTCGGCTCACATTGTTTTTTTGTCTGAAAGTCTTTTAAATCAAATTGTCACGTCTAGACCCAAAATTTAGAGTACATGCAAATAGTAAATATCAAAATATTCCGCTCTGATGGTATTATAAAATAATTACTAGTAGGGAAAATTCAATAAAAATGTATTTTGCAAAACAAAATACTGATTTAACGCTATTTACTGAATAAGTCAGTCACAAAAAAAAAAATTACTGTAGAAAATAATCTTAAAATCTGACCCAGTACAGAGCTGGTTTAGAATATACTGATTATCCTACAAGTTAACGTCTGCATTGCAAATTCTGTACACTTCAGATTTATTATTTCATTTTCATCATTGTGTCTTCAGCCAGTATTAAATGTTTAATTAACAATCAGCAGTCTCCAATTGTACATCAGCAGCTGCTTCACCTAAACTAATGAAACACGAGAAAAACTGATTTAATTTGGTTTTTAATCATTTCATCTTAATTATTGTTCTCAGTCTCTGTAGTCCGTGACTTCATTCTTTGGATCCAGGTCACCTCTGTGCTTTGAGTCGCTCGTCCAAACACATTTTCACATACAGTATATTCAGATTTAGGAATCACCATAAAACTTAGACTTTTTTAACTCGTAGCAGACTAAAGCAGGGATTCTCACTCGAGGAGTTATGACCCATGAAGGGGTCCTGACTTGGTTGTTTTTTCCCACTTAATCAAACTAAGTTACACAGTTTAGACGGGATCTAGAAAAGGATATTTGCACTACTGTATACCTTTTCCAGACTTTAGAACTAAATGTTTGGGCTCATATTGATCTGTGTCCACCCTGTCCATTCATGTCACTTGGTTTTTTTTTTTCTCTTAGCAGCACACTTGATGAGCACTCTGACCGCAGTCATTCTCACTGTCTGAGTGTATAAAAATAAATCTGCTACATCTCATCACAGAAATATTTATTAACTACCTTCCAGTGCAGCCATGTTGGTTTCTGTGTTTCTTTACGTCCTCATCAGTTCCGACAGTTCCTCTGTGTGTGAGACTGGAGTGGGCTTTCTGAAGAGGCCTCAGCCGACAGGAGGTCAAAGGTCATAGAAGCAGACAGGGCTGGTTCCTGTAGAGCCCCGCTGTGCACTCAGCTGCGGCCACGGAGGACCGCTGCTCCACTCTACCAAAGCTCCGCTCCCTGTTTGTGGACATGCTGATCTGGGATCAGCTCACAAAGGCACCCAGAGTTTTTGGCCTTTTACTGACTGAACAAGGGAACAAGTCCCCTGACCTGTGCACTACGAGTCTACGGTGACGAGAGTTTTAAAAATGAGTTCACATTTTTTTGTAGTTATTGTTGGGAATGTAGAATTTCTCACTGGAGCCTACCATCTAGTTGATTTGTGTCAACATGTTGTGATAAAACACTGATATTAATAGTTATACTAATCTATGGATGAGGTGCCGTGCAGAAAGACTGAGAGCCTGGAGGTTTGCTGTTGAATTAAATTTTTATTTCTTGTAAAAAAAAAAAAGAATGAAAGGTAACCCTGAAGCACCTGTGATTTGGCCAAACGCTTTTAGAATATGCTTGAAATGCATTTTGAAGGAGATTTGAGTATTAGAAATGTGTTCATGTTCAGATGTTTTTTTTCTTGGGGGAGGATTTATCTGATGGGAGTGAAGAGTTCCTATTTGAAAATGTGAGTTTTGAGATATATCTGAGATTATTATCATCAAATTGATGATTTTATGATCAAATGAATGATGATTGGTGGTATGTTTACACACAAAGATGTTTGTTTTCTCGTTTATATTTGATGTTTTAATTCATTTATTGATTTGATTTAATTTGTCATAAACTGTATGATCAATCACTTAAATATTGCAGGATTTTTTTCAGCCATTCCTGTAAAATATGCCAAACTTTAAAAAAAAATCCTTTTGGAGGGGGACTATATTAGCATGAATAGGAAGCAAGCTTGAACTCTCGGATGTGTTTGGTGGAGGCTCTGTCTAAATGTTACCATCATTATTACACATTAACAAGTTTTAGCCATTTCAAATTAAATACATTAATAAAACTTCGATATGTGGTAGAGTTTGGCACCTAATTCCAACTAAAATGAGTCACAATTAAGAATACATGATCATTTTATACCATTGTTAAATTATAGGCCTTAGCATTATTTTATTAATTCAAAGATTTCCAGTCAAGCACATAGAAAAATAGTACAGTGACATGTCTTCAAATGGGTGTCTGTGCTGCCAACAGAAAACAAAATATAAATATTTTAGTGATTTTTTTTGTCATTGTTTTTAGGAATATGTATTTTGACAAATCTAAAACAATAATTATATCATACCTCAAATACAATATGAATATTCGTTTCCTAAGTCTTAACATTGAGACACCAAAAAAAAAAAACTTTTGCTGGATTAAATTAAGTATACAATATTTAATATTCACTTTTTGATGCTAATCAAAGCTGCTGCTTGCTTTACTGCACACTGACATGGAGAATCATCTTGTTTTCTACTTTGATGTCATTTTGGTTATGATCTTGTTCAGCTCCACACGTACGCCGTTCTTAGCGTGTACATGAAGGATAATAAGAAGTTGTGTACTTTCATTTGTATGAAGTGTCAGGATGGAAAAGTCTTTTTTTTTTTTTAAACATTAATCACTTTAAAGTGTCTTCTCCATCACCATGTGCTGAATGGTGACAGAAGGCTGTACAAAATACAAATTTCCTATAATTTTTTTTAAAGGTCCTCTAGAAGTTTAGTATTTTATGAGAATATATCGTAATAAATAGTATGCATAAATCAGATCAGAATATTTAACACCATCACAGTTCTTGATGGCGACTTGCCTCATAATCTTTACGGATCTAAATGAAATATAACAATTGTATCAATGACATAAGTTTTGAGCTGCTGTTGCATAAAATTAATAATTAAAAGTATGTTTACCTCGGCGTTGGAGAAAGAATAAAACTACGTATAATAACTAAAATGTGAAAGTAGAAATGACTGGAAATTCATAAACAACCTTTTTATTTGCCTTCCCTGAGAGGTGCAGCATAAACCTGAGCAGATTATTGTGTGACTTTCAGGATTATTTTCCATGTTTTTATTTCTGTTTTGAACTCTTCCTTCTCGTGTGTGCCATGCGTCTCATGTTGGTGTGCTCATACTGGTTTTATGCAGAATGGAGATGGCTAGTGTCTAAATAAGACGCACGTCTTCCTCACAAATGAGTGCTGCTCAGTTTTATTTTATTTTCTTCGTTGGAGCAAAACTGATGAAGACTGAATTTATTTATTTTTTTGGTCTTGTCAAAGGTGAACCCTTTTTCTCTGGACTGCGACTCATGGCTTTATGTTGTACTTTTATTATCTGTACAATGGTTAAAGTTCTGAGCCACGTGGCAGCGGTGACCTGGTACAGAAAAAACAAAAGGTGATGACCTGCCTTCACGCCTCGACACAGGTGTGTTCAGGTGTAACTGCAAATTCAAATTAAATATTTCCTCCTTTTTTTTTATTCTAAATTGTGTATTTTTTCCCCCTTAATTTCTACTCCAATAACATTGTGTTTAAAAACCAACAGACACAATAATATGAAAAGAAGACAAATAAAGTTACTGTTGACACTGGATATTTGCCTGTTTCATGTTTTTAATGAGTACTACACGGGCATTTCTACTTGTATAAATATTTAAACATTTGTTTTATTAAACCTTAACTGATGCATATTTGTAGGATAAGGAGCTTTGACACGTTCTGTGAGATTAACTATGGTATTTAGATTGAACAAGTCTTGTGTATTTATTAAATGACTAGATTTAGCAATAGAACGACTTCTTTTTTCTGTAAATTTTGCTTGTAAATACATTTTGTTTGACTCCTTGGGTAAAGTATCAGACAGTTAAAACTTTTACTTTCTTTCACATTTGAAACTGACACAAATAAATTGTTTGAATAATGTTAAAAAATAACATCAAAGCATGCAAACCAATAACTGTAGGTTATTACTAGGTTACTGTAATAACTGTAAAAAAAAACTACAATAACTGTAGGTTTTTTTTTATATCAAGCTAAGGTTTTAAAGGTTAACAGTTTCAAGTACTTTTAGTTCGTTGTCCCAGCATTTATAAATCACTTTACAGCTGGGCGTATTGTGAGCTGTTTATCTGTTTCCATGGCAACCTGAAGCTCCCATCAATCAGGTTTCCTTGGTAACAGCAGCGGCAGCAGTTGTGCTCCAACACGGACAGAGGAGTCAAGTTTCTTCACTTGTCTGCTGAATGTAAGTCTGGAGACATGAACAACGCTGGTGAAATGTTATATGTTTGGCTTTAAATGTGATATTTCTTTTATTATTATTATTATTATTATGTGTCTTATTCACGTCTAAATGAAATGTTGGCGAATCAGGCCAACGGTGAACTTTTAACCCGATGGAATAATAGCTGTCTTTTGTTTTTGGCAGATTTTAAAGATAAACTTCACTGAACTTTAAGACTTAAAGTTACTCTCACCTGACATGGTGCAAAATCTTTTTAATTTGTTTATGCACGCAGACAAAAATCGTGAAACATCCAAGAGGAAAATATTCCAGAAGTGAGTTTGAAAGGTCTTCACTTTCAGGATAGACTCAAATGCTCACTTTGAGGAGTGGGAGAAATAAAAAGAGAGTTTTCTTCTC